TCAGCCACGAAGTAACTGTGTGTACTGGCTGGCAAAGTTTCCAGCATGCTGAACACTGAATCCTCTAATTGAATCCTGTATATTGTGTGTGCCTCAGCAGGTGGCAGCATCTGGCCAACCTTTTAGGGATTCAGAAACTAAGTGAGGTCAGTCCTGGATAGTATTTGGATGGGAGAATACAAGGGAACATCAGGCCTGCAGGCTAATCTGGAAAATTCAAAGGCATCCTGGAAGAAGACAGTGGCAAATTACTTACATATTATTGCCAAGAAATATCCATGGGCAAGTTCATGAAGTCTCCAATGGCTCAAGCCAACTCAACAGCATATTCCCTTTACTTTACCTGGCATATGGGCAGTATCCCTTGGACTACACTGGAACTTCAGCTGCTCTAGTTTCCCCATAGTAATTGTACTGACTGTAAAGGAATGTAGAGATGACCTTGGGGAAAGAATGTCTGAACCATTAAGGGAAGGGAAAAGGTCATTCAGTCCTGGGAAGTGGAAAGCCTGAGACAGAAACTCAGAGCAACTCCACCTTGATTCTGCTTGATACGGCTGATAGGGCTGAGAGAAACTCTGAGTGGCTTTCAAGATTCTATTATTGTACCCTGTAGCAATAAAGCAGCATTCCTGGAATTCATCTGGTGTCTGTTTCCTCACCTGGCTTTGTTCATTAGCTTTGGATTATACTCAGACATTCCCAATTCTTTAACCATAAAGTATTTCCATTCTTTTAGCTTCTTTTATACCCAGCATAAAAGTAATGCTAGAATAAATTGTAAGCCGGCCAGAGTCACCCTGTGGGGGAGATAGGCGACATATAAATTTAATTAAATAAATAAACAAACAAACCCAAGCCCATTATTCCTTCTCAATCCTACGTATTTCCAGACAATATAATTATTTTTGTCTTAAATATCCCATGAATTATGATGGCTACAAAAAAGTTTTAAATTTTTCTGTAAACAATTCTGCTTATTTGGGAAGCAAATTAGTTGGTTTTGGCCATGAACTAATAGCCATATATTGAATGACTGGGAAGAATGATATTATATTAATTCAAAATTTCTATTTCTATTTGTCTTTTGAATAGCACTAAATTTTGCAACTCAAGCTATATAATCTACATTTTGAAAATGTTCCTTTATTATGGAAATGAAGAACTTTATTTGTTTCACAGTTGGGTACACCACTCAATTCTCTGTGGGTCTCCAACATCCTCATAGGAAGAAAGAGACTATTCTGTGCTCTTTTAGCTGAAGAATAAAGAATCTTCACCGAATAGGCACATCAAAATTCCTTAGATCCATAGAAACACCATTGTTTTAAGTGCTGAACTTGGCAGATGCCTCAGAGTCTGTGTCTGTATATATAGACCTGTTATTTTGGTGACAGATATGTGGGTGAAGGATTGCCATCCTAGTATTGAAGAAACTGCTTTTTCCTACATGAAGATGCCATTTCCTAAGACCATTAAGATATCATCAGAGGTATTTCAGGGCCAACACTGAACTTTGGGAAGGTTGGGCAGCTGTAAGAAAACCTGGATTTGCTTTGTCTAAACCCCATTGCCACCAGCTTGTATATCCTTCTTTTAATTTGCTCAAGACAATACACTGATGTAAAGAAGGAGCTGTAGATTCCATTGGCTCATTCATTCTCTGTTAAGCAAGCAAAGGGTAGCAATGATGTGCTGGAGAAGCAACTGTTGAAAGTGTGACATGGGAGAAGGGCTTTGTCTAGCATTATGTCCATAGGAGCCTGATTCAGTATAGATTGATTACCCTGATAACACAATTCTTTCCTTTGCAGTAAGGCCCATCGATTTCAATACAGCTTATTGCTAGATACATGGATATAAGACGGCAGCATTTCTATGACTTTTCCTGCTGTCTCTTCTGCTTTGGTTGTTCAAAGGTTGACCTAGAGATTATTTTTATGTCCTGCTAATTTATTTCTTTACTTTTGGTTGTATAATGCCACGAATGTTCTCAGAATTCTAAAGCAAATTACAAATAGTAGTAGATGGATGAGTGGATGAAACATTAACGTTTGTATTTTTTTTGCCTCCACTGTCTTTTAGTCAGAGCAGAGGCTATCAGGATCAGAACTAAAGGGGGAAATAGAAGGAGGTGTGAATTTTTCCCTCTTTAGAATTTCAGTGATAGATTTGGCAGACTTTTTTTTTTTTTTGCTCATAGCTGAACTGATGGATTGCATTGCACTGGGGTACTCAAGAGATTTGCTTGAAAATTATATGGTGGTCAAAAATTCAACTAGATACTAGTCCACCGAAACGGAAGTTGTGCTATATATATGCAGTATATGATCAATGTGTGTGTGCACTCCTACGGAAGGAAGAATGTCACTGAACATATGCATAAATCTGCTTCTTTTAGCTAAATAGAAAATGAACATATAGGCAGTATAGGGATGAAAAATAAAAGCCTTTTTTATTTATTTACAAACATTTGTATGTTTCTCAAATAAAGTAAAGTAAAGTAAAGTAAAGTACAGTAAAGTAAAGTAAAGAATAGTGCATACTACATTTTATAGGTAAGAAAATTACTTTGTAAGATTCATCCTGAATGTAAAAGGGAATAATGTGAAACAAAACTTGGAAGATTCTTGTTATTAGAAAGTTTCAGGGGAAAATTATATGTTACATCTGGTTTTGAATGAATGTATATAAAATAAACAGGCTTCTTAAAGTGATAACCAGAGCTGTCAAATATTGCTTTTGTATACTTTTATACCATTTTTCCTTCCCTCAGTCTGATTGTAATGAGTTTAGAAGGAGTGATTTAAGATAATCAGACTTTTCTGTACTCAGAAAAAGCTAGAGAGATTTTCAAAAATCTCTTTGGAAACAATGTCAGGCTTTTGTTGTACTCTTGAATTTTAGAAATTAAAGAAGCAGCATTTCAGAAGTGTTAGTGGAGAGGGTCCAAAATTAGATATTATTTGCCTCTTGCAGGAAAGCAGGCAGCTGAACTGAAGAGTCCTTGCACTGTACATTAAAAATGTTATGCTACGACTTAAAAGGGCTTTATAGCTACTTGTTAACTGTGAACTTCGGTCAGACTCTGCTTCACAACAGCATGTGCTATGTAGATTGTGGGTAGTTACATTTTTCTCCTGACTGCACAGACTGCTGGGGGAAAGGTGAGGTGCATTTGATTTTTCGACCACCTGAAATGTTCACTTCTTCAAGACCTCTTCATTTTGGTTTCTGTGTCTTTCCTTCCACCTCCTTTCCCAGTCTGCACATGGATGAATGAGGAACATGATATCCCTCCTCTATCTGCTAGAGATGATTTTGAAGTTCCCATTTGGAAAAGGCAAAGTAAAGCAAACTATTGCTCTTAAAAATATCTTTAGTTATGTTTGTTACAACATGCTTTGGGCCAGAAAACAGGGGGCTTGTTTTCCCCTCCCTGGAGCAGCGCTGCCCTTCTCAGTAGCTCTTCTCACTGGCTACCAAGACTTTGTAAGTTAACATCAAACTTGGAGTGCTTAAGGCTGGGTCAGATGGGAGAGGATGGATGGGATGAGGAAAGCTGATTTAAGATAAAAAGGATTTTACTCTGGGCAAGCTCACATTCCCCCTTGCCTGGCCACACAAAGCCCCCAATGCATTCTACAAAACCTTTGTCAATCCCTGAGGTTTTACAGTCTTATGATATTATGGCCAAAGTCCAAACAATAACTTCAGGCATATTCATGGGCTTTTATGGGCCTGGTTAGACTTCTTTGTTTTGTTTTGTTTTGTTTCCTTGAGCAGCAGGTTTTCCCTCATGTTTCCAAAGCAGTTTGCAGGGACAGAGGGAGGGCTGATCGAGTTAGGCATCACACAGATCTCTGAATGTCTGTAGCCACTGAGGACACCTTCTTCTCCTTGCAAAACATTCAGGTGAGGCAGAACGAAGGTAAACAATGACATTATGCTGATCTCAAAATGCATGCTGCTCGTTGTACTGCATCTGTATATAGAAAGCACACTATAAACCAGATGGGCAGTTTGATCAGCTTCTCTTTACTGAATCTTCTCTTTCTTCCAAAGACCTCTGCATGGCGTCCATTGTCCTCTGTGCATATCTGTCCAGCAGAGCAATCCCATGAGAGGAGAAATGGGGAGGGTCCCAAAGGCAGCCAAGGAACTTAATGGCTGTTGGGTGTAGATCTCCACAGCCTGAGCATGACTAATCCTTACATGTGCTGTCTTCAAGGCTGCTTCTCTATCCCCATGACATGGTTGGTGTGCCCAGTTCCTGCTTTTTGCTTCTTAAGACCACTAAAGAAAGTCTGGCTACATCGCTGTGTGAAAAGTAGCCTTTTGAAAATTTCAGATATTCCCTGAGAAGAGGGAGAAGTCATGTTGAGACTTATGAATTCAGCAAAGACAGTATTGCAGATATTCACATAAATCATGATTTGTTTTACTGGTTTCCTGGTTTGTTTACTTCTTCAGTTAGCAGCCAGAGGATTTGGAAGAGTTCCAAGTTACTGGGAATAAACTAGGAATAGAGGAGATTCAAGACATGATAACACTTCTAGTCCAAAGATTAGCCATAGTTTTTGTCTTGGAACTGATTTGTACCTATTAAGCCAAAAACAAAGCAAGCAAACAAACAACAAAAGCTATCTTATTGTTTAGTCTTATTGTGGAAACTGTTAGTCAGGAAGGAGATGCTGGTCATCTTTCTTCCTCCAGAGTTCATAACTGCCTAGTGACAGGTTTTCTCTGCTCCTTTCCTAGGAAAAAGTATTAAACTCTAAGGAGAGATTAAGGGATATAAATAATGAGTGGAGAATAGTGTGAAGTTTAAAATGATCAGATTATACCCAGGGAAACCCAGATTTAAATCTCTTCTCTGGTTTGAAGTTCACGAGGTGGGGTGACTGTTGGTAATTTTTCTTCAAGACGAATGTCCTCAAAGGATTGTTGGAAAGGTAAATGGGAAAGAAAGGGAGGGAGGGAGGGAGGGAAATGAGAAAGGGGAATAATGCAAATTACCCTGATCTTCCTGGAAGAAAGCTGGGGTATAAATAAAACACAATTTGGGGTGTATGTCCGATTTCAGTTTCTAGCTTTCTCTGCAAGAGCTTTTGAAATTCTGACAGGGCAAAGATCGAGTCCTTGGACTCTTTCCCAAGGTGCAAGTAAGATACTGCCTTTTCTGTTCTACTAGGCAACATGGTCAAACAAAATACATTTTGCTAGAGAGTAAAGAAGATTCAAGGTCCGCATACTTGTCAACTCAAGAAAAAGGTAAAACCTAACTTTTCTAAAAGCCTAAATTTAGGTCCAGTTGCTAGAGGTTTGTTTCCCCCCCTTTCAATTAACACACATGCTGGAATAAGTAGTCCATGCACAATGAGGAATCATAACTCTGCTTCTCATTCTTCTGCAGCACATAGTACAGCCATTTATCCAAACTTGCCCACAGCGACTTACTCACTTTGTAATAAAATCTATGGGAAACCTTCTCAACTGCCATTCTCAAGCAGTGACTTCATCTCATGCCAAATATAGGGTCCACCTAGTGTCATTTCCATCAAAAACAACAGGAGTAAGAGGCAGCCATTTTTCCTATGTCTCTTTTACCTGCTGACATCTGTAAGGTAAGAATTTTTAAAATCAAACATTTTAAAATCAAATGAACAGTATGCAGTTCATTTATATGAATGGCCCACTATAGCTGTCTGTGCAAAACATGAAGCACAGGCCCACGCAAGACTGAGCAACTGGCCGAAGACAAACAGAAATTAGCAAAAATGGAAGAGTAACTGGACTGTAAGAAAACATCTGGAGATGCAGACAATGACTGCATGCAGGAAGAAGAAATAGAAGTGATTGTGGCAGGAGGTCAGAACAGAGTAGAGATAGGGAAGAAATTCATTTAGTTCGAATCTAAATGCAGACATGTCTAATTTTGCAATTTCAAGCCACCACAGAATCCGAAATGTAATTATCATGCAGATTTTGCCATTCTTCAAGTCTGGAGTGGAGCTCACCAATATTTCTTCATAAGTCTACTAAGAAGCAATCTGCACATCCACGGAAAAAGCATCAAATGCATTCTATATAAGGTAAATTATTTGCAAACTTAGCATCTCTTCAGCAAAATTGCAAACTTAGATATGTCCAGATTGAAGTCCGGACTTATCTGCAGCTTGGGGGCCAAGCAAAATGGACAGATTTGTTCACGCTTAGCATAAGCCTAATGTTAATTAGGCTACTTCATTAAGCTAGCTGGGGCCCAGAAGCAATACGCTTTCCAAAACAGAAAGGCCCGTTATATAAGGGAGGTTTTCAGAAGGTTGATTATGGAGCCAAGGTATTTCCTGTGCACAAATATAAAATGGTCCCTTCCAAGGGACTGAATGACATGTTTTCTGTAGCTCTCTGCAGTGGTGCTGACCCTAGCTGTACAACCTCACAGCATGCCACTGCAAGCCTTTTATGCACCGCTTCTCCTGCAAAACATCACATACCCTTCAATGGGCGTGGTTGACCTCCGCCACCCTGCAGCTCAGCCAGCGTGTGACTTGATCATTAACATGCCAGCCGGCTCGAAAGGAATGTGGGTGGGATTGCATCGACTGCACATTAGACCTCCCGGCTGTGTCTCCATCTCTGTCTCTACCCACCCTCCTTCCTAGTATTAATATATCCCCAGCTCACAGATTAGAAACGCAAACTGAGCTGTCCCAACCAGCACAGAAACCAGCTGGCCGCACTTAAACGGCATTTGCTTCTTGTGGCGTGTAGCCTAAGACCGCAGCTTCAGTTTTCTGCAGCAGTACCAAACATAAAAGCATTAAAAAATTTGAATCATGTGTAGTGGTCAGTTCTTTAAATAAATAAGTGGGTTTAGCACCTTTTAAAACATTCTCCAGCAAAGTATTCATTGCAAGGTCTTGAATGCTCCAGTCCAATCTGCTTTTTCATCGTTCCATATTTTGCCACGTTAGGCAGCTGTCACCACATTTTGCAAAGATTTTGCAAAGCACTCAAGTTCTGCTTGAGCACTGTCCTCCTTTGGGGCACCTGACAGCGTCATCCCCTAAGTTCTTCTTCATGGATTTTTGGCACTTTGCCCTCTGGACACAGTGCTCAGAAAGATGGGAAATAGATATTGTGCTTTATTGATAGGGCTTCTTATAAAATTATTAGGAGTTCAGGATGATGTGAATTTTATTGTTTTTATACAGTCTTGAAAGGAAGATAAGTAAAGGGGGAAAAATCCAAGACTGATTTTATTTGTTCATTCATTCATTCATTCATTCATTCATTCATTCATTCATT